GATCCTCATGGCTTCCTCTCAACTCCTATAATCAGAAATAGGAGTTGTCTTAGGACAGGTTCCCTGAAAACAGCCTCAGAGAGGGAGGAGGGTATGTACAATTTGTTGAGGGAGAGTCAGGGGAGTTGTGAGCAAGCAGGTGTTTCAGTAAAGTTTCGTCTCAGTCTGATCCATAAGGGCAGGTACCACGTGAAGCAAGGGGCCAGTATCTCTGTACCATTGACTGGCCCTTCAGGCAGGTATGGTTCAGACCCCCTCCCCCAGGCATGTTCAGGCTACCTGGTTCAGGTCAGCCAAGGACAAGTGTCTGTAGAAGTCCCCGGTCTGCATTTATCGGGAGTGTTTGTGACAGTGGAGGGCTAGGTGTGCCGGCTGGTGAAAGGGCTTTGGGCAAGGCACCAACAGCATCTACTATAAGAGAACAGACCAACACCAACACCTAGAGCACCGGAAGACAATCAGAGACACGCTTGGCAAATCCTGCTTTGTGGTTTACATCTTCAACTCTGTACCTGCTTCTCTGAGCCGGTCTGACTGGTCTTCAAGCATGTTGATGTCGGCATCCCCAAGGCCATCCGAAAAGATGAGGAGTATCTAGAACGAGAGGGAAGCAGAGAACGGGGATGATACAAACCCAAATCCATCACGGGGGACAGATGCACAAACAGAGCCCGACGGAGGACAGGGTATGGCAGAAGTACCTGTCCTCGGGATGCAGATGTGTCCTCGAAGGTGTCCCATAGCGACTGCAAAAACTCAGTGCTGAGATGAGTTGGTCCGCCGACAGTGACCTCACTCAGCCTGACAAAGAGGCCGTCCTGGTAGATTTGAAACTTGGAGGGGAATTCTCTGTCACTGCTCACTTTAAAGGCCATGCTCACCTGAGCCTCTGCACCTGCCCCACAGCTCACCCCACTGATGGAGCTGATGTCCTTTAAGATCTTTGGGAGGTATGATTTCAGCTGGGAATGGTCCTGGAATAAAAGCTGCCCCGGCCGAAGAGAGGAAATGTCAAAGCCCACCACTACATCGATGTAGCAATCTGGAGACCAAAGGAAACAAGGGCGGATTACTGAGTATGCAGCAGCAAGGCCAGGGGGTCCAAGCAGGAGAAAGGAGGGGTCATGGTTCAGGACAGGCGGGTCTCTGTCACCAACCGCATTCCAGAAGATGACATTGGCTGCTTTCCCTCAATAGTACAGAGGTGTTTCTGCTCTGCCCTTAAGGGCAAGTCCTAATGGCTATCGGGATGGTGAGACTTTTCTCTCGTGCTTTGGAGGGGGTTGGTCAAGTGGAAGGGTAGCAAAAAAAAAAGAGAGAGCGAGAGCAAGACCCTTGCCAAGATGGACTGACACCGCGGCTGCAATGATGAGCTCCCGCGTAACAATAATTGTGAGGTTGGCACAGGGCCGAGCAGTGTTTCCTTCTGGTGTCCGTCCAGAGGGTCCCCTGAGTCAGAACTGGCTTGAGGGCATCTAACAGGAATCACAACAACGGCGGTTACGTGAAGTTCAATCCATGGGTTCGTTTCATTCCCCATGTGGCTAGCCCTGTGTCTGCTTCTTTGGATGGTGACTTTCAGACCAATCGGAAACTACTACTGATATTTTTCCTAAGGAAACAGGAAAGATATTATTCCTAAGGAATGAATCTAGAGGTGACCCACCCTCATGCCTAACAGATAAGGTGAATCATTATGAACACACCGGTGGACAGGGCGGAAGGAAAATATAATGGGAAGCAATGGTTCACCTCAAGGGGGTGTCGCTATCCCACTCCAGGAAGAGCAGTCACGTGGGAAACAGAGCCCCACTATTGTCCTGTGGGCAGAGCTTCTGATTTGTTCAAAGAAAAGTCTGAAATCTCTATGTCTATTGCTCAGTAGGATGGCTCATCCTCTAAAGGTTGTCAACTAACTTAACACGCTGGCAACACTGGGTGGGGTGCACTACATTGGTCTGCCACCTGCCAGGCCACCGTTTCTCCAGGACAATTGCTGAGCAGTTGGCAGATGAAGAAAGCAGAGATTCATCGAGGTGGCTGCTGAGCCAGTTTCTGATTCCGGGCCCAGGACTCTTTCCACCACTATCCTCTGCCTCTGCCTCTGCTTCGAGCCCCAGAATGGGACACACGATTGGGAGGACTTGGACAGACGAAGGGTTTCTGTAGGAGGAGTGGCTTCCTTCACAACACCACGGAAACAGAAGCCCTCAGGAAAATCTGCATGTTGTCCAAACCCCACACAATGATATTCATTGTGCTCTCTCAGGTATTGTCCTTCCAAATGCTAATCCCGAACTCACCGAGCCTGAAACCCAGGTGGCCACGCCCAGCTGGAGCTGGACATGGTGAACACTCTACCTGGATCACTCGGTAAAGGTGCTCCGTTTGAAAATACTGTCGACTAATTTAATAGTTTGCCAACACTGGATAGGATGGACATCCCCTTTGGATGGACTTTTCCTCCCCATTGCATCTCCCTTCTGGCCAACTGCTCACTGGGCTCATTAACCGCTGTGGCCATTGGAGTTTCTAGCTCCTAGGTCAGAAAATCCCTAAGGGCCATTCCGTCATTAATAGTTTATGGTTAGCTGAATCTCATCCGTAAATGGAGGAAATACACACAAAGACATGCACATTAACAGGGTCCTTTTACAAGATGGGTGCCACAAAACTAAAATAGAGAAACTTCCCATCAGCAAATATGGAACATCATTTACTTCCTACTGGATGTCAAGTATTGCCTCAGGCTTTGCAGCAGTGGAGAGAGGACAGAAAGAGAGCCTGCAAGGCAGGTTCTAAGAGAAGCATTTACACCACATTGCAATGCGGGGGCAGAGCTGGATGGAGGACACACTCAGTGCCTCTTCTTAGCCTTAGTTAGGCTTTCCTGTGCTTACTGGGTTCAAATGCCTACTCTCTCAGCAGCCTCTTCTCAACACATGTCCGGCTAGAGCTTGTCTATGAAGCACCTCTGTGAAAATGTGGAAAGCGGGCGTGGCAATGAAATAAAAGCACGTCAAGAGCACTCACTGTTGTTGCTTTTCCTGCAGCTCTGGCAGATCTCACGCGTGAGTCTTTTCTTCACATCCATGTTCTGCAGTTTACCGAAGTCTGGAAAAGTGATTATTTTTTCCGAATTGCCTGTTATTGGCAAAAGCTGTTCTTTATGAACGTCTCCTATGCCCATCACCAGGACACAAATCCCAAGGTCCTTCAGTTTCTGGACCTTGTCTGTCACATTAAATTTTGGAGACCCAGACATGATCACAAGCAAAGTTTGTGGGACACCTTCATGTCTTCTCCCACCATTCGACGGGTCAAACAGACTCATCACATGATCCAGGCCATTGTCGATTCGCTGATCCCCTTTGCTCTTGTCAATTGTTCTGATTTGAGTCATCCTCTTGGTTTTGTTCCACGAACTGTCCAAATCAATAATTTCCTGATAGCGGCTCCCAAATTGGGCCATCCCAATTTTCATTCGTTGCGGCTGAGGGTCAAAATCATCAGTTAATTTGGACACAAATGTGACCATGGTTGTAAAGTCCAGATCAGAGACCACATCGGAGCCATCACAAAGGAAAACCACATCGACTTTCTGGCGGTTACAGACTGCAGTGGGGAAAAGAAAAGGCATGATTGCCCCCGCAGTGCACCATTCCAACCCTTCCCTTGACCCAACACTTACAAAGCTGTAATAAGCTGCTCTATTAGTGGCAAATTGAGATGTGCTGACTGAAGAGATCATCTGAGCATGGTCCTCAAAGAGAAGGTAGGAAGACTGGTAAGAGGAAGAGCAAGAGAAGAGCCCGTTTCAAATTTTAGCGATGTAGATGCTTCACTTGACAAGATACTGAGAATGACTCAAAGGGGAAAAGAAGTTTCAATAGATTAAGTGTATTCATGAAAAGTTCATTACCAAGGCTAAAAGCTTGTTTGAGACACTCGGATTGGAGCACCCACCCACATCAAGGTATTTGTGTTGCTGTATTGGAACTTCCACTACGACTAAAAGGTCCCTTACGTGGCATCAATGGCTCCTCCCTTGAATCATCACCTAGAGGTTGGTGGCTAGCACCCATCTAGTGGTAATGTGAAAAATCAGGTCTGTTAATCTGATTCTGCTAAGACTATACTCAGGTGTCACTAAATGGATGGGGACTCAGTAACCCCTGTGACAGAGTTGAACTGCCCAACAGGGTATAGGCGGTCATCTTTATGAAAGCAGATATCCACGGTTTCCTCTGAGGAGCTGGTGGGTGTGTTTGAACTGCCAGTTTTGGGGGTAGCAGCTGGGTGCTTAACTGTTACCTCACTAGGGCACCTTCTGTTACAATTACAGTCAAGAAAACCCTATAACACATGGGGTGGTGGTGAGTCAGCATCTACTTGGCATCAACCAGCAATAGCAACAGCATGACTGCAAAGACTACAATCTTCCATTGCATTGAGAAATATAACTTTAAAAAATGCCTTTAATAGATAATAATACAGCTGCATTCATCGTCACTTTAAATGGAATTGTCCAAATTGCACAGATGTAGAAATGGAATTCAGAGGTAAAGCGACTTGTCTAAGAGTACTGGCCTTAGATGTGTGATCATGTCTAAATGAACATGATTAGTTTATTAGTACCTGAACCTCTAGATCCCCTTTGACCCTTCAGTTTGGCACTCTTGACACTGAATCTCCACCAGGTTCACTTTTTCACAGGAAAAGTGCCAGTGGCTAATCAACAGAGTCCAGGCCAATGTGAAGTGTGCACTGTTCCCAAATCAAGAAGTGACCTCTAGACCCAATTCAAACCCAACTCAATAGCTAGGGTAGGGGAATCATTAAAGTGGTGACTAAAGGTAATTCAGACAATGGCTTGCCCCTGTCACACATTGAAATGACAGAAGAGATCATCCCCAATTGAATCTCAACAAAAAGACAAAATTGTGTTCTTGGAATGGTAGTCTAGTAGACACAGAGATGTACTGCCTAGATGAGCTCTCAAAGAAGGAGTGTGGTCAGCAGCCAGTGTCCAGCTGCCAGCTCCTTCGGGGTCAGCTCAGCTGTAGAGAACAACCTTGCCAAGGTCACTGCCTCTGTAGGGCCCATCTACTAATCTAGAGTAGACAGCACTCATTCCAGAAGTTTCTACCAGGTTTGGAGCTTTGTTGAGCATGCATTGCTGTTTGACTTCTTCGATCTCCTTCTGTGACCCTCCTTTCTTTCACAAGTGTGGATCTCTGTTAAACACCTTGTGCCCTACATTCCATCTCAGCATCTACAATAAAACAGCTCCCATACAACAGGCAAGGTCAAGCCTTCCAAGCACCCCAGAGTCTGTGGCAGATACAAACAAAAGATCAGCAAGTAATGTATGAAGCGAAAAGTGGAAAGATAAAAAAAAGTAGAAAGGTGCAGTGGATTGAGGAACACAGCAGGGACACTATCAAGTGTCAGGTCAAGAAAGCTACTAAGCAGAGGCTAAAACCAGACAGTCAAGTTAGATGTAGCCAGGTGAAGTGGTGAGCTAGCTAATGTGTTCACTGGAGTATAATGGTTTGTAAAAAAAA